ATATATATATATATTAGCTGGACAGAAAATGAATATAATCAACAAAAACTTGTCTTCACCAATGTTTTTGTACAAACCGAAAATAAAGTTTTGTTTGAATCGGAACAAAACTAGCTAACCTCGAGGTCGGCTAAAACTAATTAAGCTAACCGTGCATTTTTCGCCGCATTTAAAGCGTCACGTATTGTTCAGCTGTTAACAACACAACATGGAAGGTGATAAAGGTGTTTTCAGAATAGAAAAAAACTATTTTGTGTTATATCGGTTATAAATTTCTTATTTCACAGTTTTCCTAGTTAGCTACTAGCTAAACGACTTAAGTTATGACGAGCACATGCGCACTATCGTTAGTTGTCTTTCTCCGCGTAACGGGACGTTTCGAGGTGAAGAAGACGACATTTTGTGAGTTTATTTTTCACTTTTTTCTTTATTCTTTCCTCCTCAATACAGACATTGTTGCGTCAACATTTGTACATAATATTTGTTAAGTAAATTTAGTTCTCTTGCTTGTTTGGAGTATTCGACAGGCTGTTGTTCTATAATTGGCCGTCCGCCATTTCCAGAACTCGTTAGGGACAGGTGTTTTAGGTGTGGTACTAATTGAAGTAAAATGGTCATAAGGGGCCACAAAATGTCGATTAATTTGCGTTTTAGGCGCCACAGCAATTAATTTTGTTTTTATTTTATTTTATTGTAACTTTGTTGGCTGATGATTCCGACAGGTCTGGCTTCCATTAGGGTTAATGGAAACATTTTTGTCATAACGCTTTTAACCAGTGATTTCTATATTATATAGAAAATCAAAAAGAAAAAAATAAGTAGGTCTGGACGGGAAGGGCCCGTCCAGAGGACCTACTTATTTTGTCTATTTTCTACCTGTATAACTGAGATGCATCAGGGTATTTTATATAGATATTATTGCTCGCTTAATTATATATAATTATTGCAACTCCAGAACTTAAAAGCAGTAAAGTTATTGTTGATAAATGTTTATCTTTGGGAGTTGAACATGAGGTTCTGCAGTTCCCCCTCTTCTCCACTAGACACCACTGAAACCGTTCGAGTTGATTCGAGTTTGAATCGTAGCATTTTCACTTACAGTCGCTTTATTTCACTCAAAACATGCAAAGTAAATTCCCTGTGTAGATGTATAAATGTAATATAGCTCATATTAACCCTTTTTGTGACGAGATTTTCGCTATTTTAGTTGTCTGGGGTTCTTTGCTTTTCTATTGGACTAAGATGTATCACGTGACCCGGAAGACAGCGTGTGTTCTTTATCTAAAAACATTAGTTCAAATTTAAAGCCAGAAAACGATTGCTCGACCTGTACTTTTACATCGTTACGGTTCGTAGTAAAGTAGAAAAATGAAAAGTTAATTTACAAAATATTAGATGTAATTTGTGAACCGTGAGTCAGAACGTCAGTGAGGAGGATGAGTCGGTCTCCTCTGACAGTTGTGTGGTATCGCTTCTCGGCCTTTTGGCTAAGATCAAGTGTAGTATCTGTTCTTATCAGTTTAATATCTGATACGTCCCCTATCCGGGGACCATATATTAAATTGATTTTTGGAACAGGGAGATGGAATAGGGGCTTGCTCCGTCCACTCCNCGGTCTCCTCTGACAGTTGTGTGGTATCGCTTCTCGGCCTTTTGGCTAAGATCAAGTGTAGTATCTGTTCTTATCAGTTTAATATCTGATACGTCCCCTACCCGGGGACCATATATTAAATTGATTTTTGGAACAGGGAGATGGAATAGGGGCTTGCTCCATCCATTCCACGCATCGACCTGGTATTGCAGTACCTCCAGGAACGGTGCACCTCCCCTTACTTGTGCAAGATAATCTCATTATGTCTTAATAGAATACATTTTGGTTTAAGTTTTTAGTATTTGATGTAAACTATTACTATAAATAGATGGAGGATATTTAACAAATAAAATTTAAAAAACGAGATAACTGTATGGAAGTTATGTCAGACAGTTAATGAAGGTGGAACCTTTTTAAAACTACAGTATAAATTTTTTTTGAATATATCATGACAAATTATTTTATGTCGATGTGAAATCAAAAGTCAGAGGACATGAGGGGATTTTTTTTCTTGTGTTCTCATGCCATAGTATTGCGTAACTTTTCAATAATTTTTGCTTTCCCTCACAAGTCATTTTTCACTGTTATGTCTGATAATTTATTAACAAATTCACATGCTCACTATTAGCGAGTTAGCCTACTACTTTAAATCAGACATGCATGAAAGTCTGTGCTTAGTATGTATAAAAACAAACTTACATGTGAACGCGAAACAATATTGTGAGGGAATGCAGAAGTTTGTGAGGTAATGTAAAAGTATTACATAGAATGCAAAAGGTAAATAAAGTCCCACATGTTTCCTGGCAGGCTTTGTAGATTAGTAGAAACTCCTGTTTTCAAGTCTTGTTTATYGTCACTGAATGTAGTTTTTCTTCTGAACAGCAGGGGGCAGCAGCAGCTCTACTGCAGTCTGAGGGCAGACACAGGAAGTGGCGTCACTGTTAGCACAAACACAAACGTGAGCTGTGTTTTTATTCATTTCTCTACATTTCTGATGAGTGGCTCAGATTACAGCTGCTGTTCAGTTTGGATTGAGTTAATCTGAGCTCTGTTGGCTTGTTGGTTCACTTTAGGAGAATGAATGGATGAAATAAGTCACATCTGTCAGTTAGCTTTTTGTGCACACATGCTGCATTGCATTGTGGGAACACTAGCGTGTGTGTTTTAAACAAAAATAAGTCAGTGTGTGTGAGTGTGTGTGTGAACTGCTTGGTTTGAAGAGAGGAGCTGAAGAGTTTCAGCTCCAGTGTTTTCCTGTTTAGTTGTGAGATTGTGGTGCCCGTGAGTCAGAGCGGTGTGTGAGTGAAAGACTTCCCTGTGATGGAGCTGAACAACTCATACTTACCTGGCAGGGGAGATACCATGATCAAGAAGGTGGTTCACCCATGGTGAGGCTCAGCCATTGCACTCCGGTTGTGCTGACCTATGCGAATTCCCCAAATGTGGGAATCTCGACTGCATAATTTCTGGTAGTGGGGGACTGCGTTCGCGCTCTCCCCTGATCACATGTCAAAGATAATCATTGTTATTGATTGTAATTGTGTCTCAGATGAATGTGGTGTGTGTTGATGCCTATACTTCCACTTAATATCCAGCAGAGGTTACTAGAGCTCACATAATTTCCTCTCTGTAGTCTTAGTAGCTTTAAGGATGTTTTTCTCCAAATTTGTTTTTCACATCTTTAAAATAAATGAATAGAATGACCGAAATGTCCCTCAAAAAACAAATTGTCACCAGCTCCATGTTCTGATTAATGAAGTAACAAACATTATCCAAATAAGAAATACTTTATTGATCAAGGATCAATAAAGAGAAATGGTTATGAAATATGTACAGTATAGTTAAACATATATACTGTGTGAAAATACAAACCTTATAAAATATAAACACTATGAAATATAAGCAGTCTAGTTAGTATAAATAAATATTATGCATTATACACCTTGTAAAATAAAAATATGCAGTATGGTCAGGTGTAAAATATTGCACAAAATTAAAAGTTCTAGTTCAAGATTATTTGCCATTTGCAGTAGAGAAACTACATTGGAAAAACAGTGGCAAGCGATCACATCCTCAACCTACACTCATAAACAAATTAAAAGATTAAATAAAAAAAGTTAAAACATTTAAAATTTAAAACACTGAACACAGAACCCCTCACCTGCAACAGACTATAAATTCACAGAACAACTTACATTCCATGTTACTTGAGAAAGGTAATGTGCATTACTCAAAACCCTCAGAGCCCATGGGGAAAAAACTATTTAAATGATGAGACGTAGTACATTTGATACAACGGTACCGTCTCCTCCAGGGAAGATGCTCAAACATATCTTTAGCAGGATGAGTTGGATCATTAATAATAGAAAAAGACTTAGAAAAAAAGGTTACCTTTAAAAATATCCTCCATGGCTGGCAACTCACAGTCTATTGTGTTACAAGCAGGACGTACTACTCTGTTTAAGCTTTTCCTTTCTTTGCTAGTGAGATTTCCAAACCACACTGTGATACAGCTAATGAAAAGACTTTCAATTACACAATGATAAAAATTTAAAAGAATCTGTTTGTTTAGAGTGAACTCCTTAACTTTGTGTAAAAAGAAGCGTCTCTGTCTAGCTTTTTTGACAATAATATTGGTGTTTAGATGCCATCTCAAATCTTTTGAAAGGGTCACTCCCAAAAACTTAACACTATCAACCCTCTGTGCCTCTGTGCCATTTATAATAACAGGCAGATGGACACTATTTTTGCCAAAGTCCACAATCAGTTCATTTGTTTTACAAGTATTCAGCACCAACGTGTTTTGTTCACGCCACTGCACAACATGTTCTACCTCATATTGATGATAAGAGTCGTCATTAGTGTTCACCAAACCAGTAATAGTAGTATCATCTGCATATTTGATAATCATATTGGGATGGACAGCAAAAGTGTTCCAGATGATTGGATAATATAAATGTCCTTGATAAGACACAAGATAGCCTAACCAGACTCTTGTCCTTCACTTTGCTTCGTACGAGGGTCTGGACTCTAGGGTTGGGCAATATTGACAAAAAAGTAAATCACGATTAATTGTGGTATTTAGCCGATAACGATTAATTTGACGATTAATCCCCTGGAGTCCCTGGACACCCTTATGTCCTAGTAACATGACCAATTTAGTGGGAAATATTTGCTCTTCATAAAAATCTGTTCCAAATTGTGTCAAAATTACAGACTTCAGGCTATACATCAAATTTTAAATTGTGTTGATAGATAAATAAGCTACAGAACTTTTTTTAATGTTCATTAAATTTGAAGCGGAGAGGAGCAACGAGCGGACTCTGCCTGTTGGCATTAATCGTATTAATTGCCAAGTGCCAAAAATTAATCGATTAATGTTTTTCTGACGATTAATCACACACGATACGATTATGCCCAACCCTACTGGACTCTCAGCTATAGAGAAGCGTTTCTTGCTGGAGGCGTGGCCTCTGCTGAAGTTTAAAATGATTGGATCGGTCGTGACGTATATCGCTGTGAAGGAGGCTAAGCTAAGAAGCTAAACGGAAATCACGTGCGCTGTAAATAACCCTACTGAGAGAAGATAAATACCGATACAAATGAGACGGCTGTAAATGAGAGCTGTTGCTTTGTCAGACAAATTTAATTTGGAAGCCTTATCAACACGGACTGGCTTCATTCACTTCCTCCAACAGACATCACAGAAAATCAATGCCGTTCAAAACTCCGCCTTCTGTTTGCTGATTGGCCCAGGTGAAATAAACTACAAGCAGACACTGCACAGAAAATCGACGTTCTGTTCTCTGATTGGTCCAGACGAAAATTCTCCTGAAGAAATCTTTGTCTGTGGGAGAAATCCCAGACGGAGAAGTGGAGGGAAACTAGAATAGAGTGGAACTGCGTAGGAAGGCAAGGGCCAGGCTAGATACAAGATGATGTAATGATATGTTGCACATGTTTGAGCAGTATCTTCAATTAAAATAAAATGACTTTAGGATTAGGGCTCATTTGTGAACAGTAAGGGTCGGGGCTAAGTAGGTTTGGGCAATATTGGCAAAAAATTTAATCACGATTAACTGTGGTATTTAGCTGATAACAATTAATTTGACGATTAATCCCCTGGACACCCTTATGTCCTCGTCACATGACCAATTTACTGAGAAAGATTTGCTCTTTGTAAAAATCTTTTCCAAATTGTGTCAAAATTACAGACTTCAGGCTGGCTGTACATGAAATTTTAAATTCTGTTGATAGATAAATAAATGAAAGAACTTTTTTAAATGTTCATCATATTTGAAGTGGAGAGGAGCAGCGGACTCTGCCTGGTGTCATTAATCGTATTAATCGTCAAGTGCCAAATAATAATCGATTAATGTTTTTCTGATGATTAACTGCACACGATACGATTATGCCCAATTCTAGGGCTAAGCTACAGCTGTGTCCTTATAAGGATAGAAATACAAATGTGAGTCAGAGAGCGTGTGAAAAATGTGAGCTGCCAAATTTTGAAATTTCAGAGCTAATATAAAAAAGTATGAATATGAAATAACACTTTTTTTCTAAAGCACAGACTTATTTTCAGCTCGTTTGATTAAAACTAAAATAACACACAGTCAGTGAAGTCATGACAGGAAGTTATGTTTTTCTCTGCAGAGAGGCCTGCTGCAACATGTGAGGCTCTCATAGCAAATAATCACGCTGTTTAACCCCCCCCAC